CAACAACAAAAAAAAAAAAAACTATTGTACTCCAACCCATCTGCAACCCGTCTTGTACGAGCGGTCGCTTCGTGAATCCCCCTTCCCAGCCTCGAGCCGCTGCGCTTTTCTTGTTTCGCAGTGCGTGAAACGGACACTAACGCCCCCTGGCTGCAATATCCTGCAATTACCTGCTTCCTGTGTCGAGCCGCGAGTGGCAAACGCGTAGCCGCGGTCATCTTGTCAACGCTCCCCACAGTTTCACACAATGCACCCTCTCTACAGTACACGGCTTCGAGCCACGCGCAGTCACTTTAGAGTTCACGCAAGATAAGCGTGTTACGCGTGCTTAGATGGAGCACACTAGACCACCGCGGCGGGGCTGAGAGAACCCAGACGTAAGCGGCTAGATAGATAGATGTACAATTGTAGAGGAAGAGCAAGCTACAGATACGTTGGTAGACGCCAAAAGTGCTTGCAGTACGCAAAGAAATGCTTTGCATTTAACACTGTGCTGCATCTTTGCGCAATGGGATGCAGGTTCCGCAAACAGTTAGTCCAGGGAACGCCACTGAGCAGGTGTGCAACGAAGTCGCGACTCTGCTCCTTCGAGCTGTTCCGCCAACGAATTATCGAACACTGAGGCTCACCTGCTGCATGCTCCGCAGACGTGGAAGTGTGGCAGCTTGGGCTAATTGGTAAGGCAGGACGATAGTTATCGCGCGAAAACAAAACGACGACACAGAGACACAGTGTCCTTCGTCTCCATCTTGTCTCTGTGTCGTCGTTTTGTTCTCGCGCTATAACTATCGGCAGACGTGGAGTCGAATACAACAGACTAGCTGTAAGAAGTTAAGGAGAATAAGTGTCGATATGAAGCGTAGCTGTCAGTGGCGAGCTAGTTCGGGGCCGTAACCTCCCTACGGCACATTTTCATGTTTTAACATTTCGAGTGATGCTTAAAATATACTCCTGCAAAGCAGTGTATAGAGGAGTGAAAAAAAAAAAAAAATACGCCTTCATACGCCATAGTTAGCCGTTCCACACAGAACCCCCTAAAAATTGCCTGAGTTACGACCCTGGGCTGGTTGGCTGTGCATAATCTGCAGAACAGTAGCGTGAAATTTAAGAAGCATGAACGAACAAGCACTGTCGCGTCCCACAACACTGAGGCTGTATTGTGTGTGTTATATATATGATACTATATATGGGTTTACACGTCACAAAACCACCACATGAAAGACGCCGTAGTAGAGGGCTACTAGGAAAGAGAGAGGGTGATGAATGGTCTCTTGCCATTTGTCTCAATACGGCTGTCTTAGTTTTATGACAATCTTCTGAGGAAGCTTCGTGGGGTGATTACAATTGGAACACTTAAGAACATTGGTTTTTCAGCTGTCCGCAGAATGGGATTCAGCGCAGCGAGAACACAGTCGCTTGTGTTCGCATGCTACTTACGTCACCGAGCTTCATGCAGTTGTGACACTGCAGTGGCTTCGGCAAAAAATGTCTTACAGGATGACAGAATTGGCCCACCTCTTTACGTACGATGGCAGAGAGACACCTTTTAAATCTATTCTCTAGCAGCGTGCCCCGCCGCGGTGGTCTAGTGGCTAAGGTACTCGGCTACTGACCCGCAGGTCGCGGGTTCAAATCCCGGCTGCGGCGGCTGCATTTCCGATGGAGGCGGAAATGTTGTAGGCCCGTGTGCTCAGATTTGAGCGCACGTTAAAGAACCCCAGGTGGTCGAAATTTCCGGAGCCCTCCACTACGGCGTCTCTCATAATCATATGGTGGTTTTGGGACGTTAAACCCCACATATCAATCAAATTCTCTAGCAGCGTAAAGTGCCCAAACGAGCAACCTTGGCGATGACGCTGGCTTTGTTAGCTGGCTTGACCAGGCCATACAAGTCGGAGCTGGGAATGGCAGCGTCAACGTTGTATATGATGCTGGTGACGATGTTGGAGCCCACCAGGATGTAGAAACGAACATTCCATCCAGCTTTTTAACATTGATTGCGTGATATGCCGGAAGCATGTGTAACACCAATCACCATGACGTTTTTGCGCGGGTTCACTCTGACGTCGATGATTTCATTTGGTACCAGTCCCTCGAGCAGCGCCGAAACGGATTGCCCGTTGAGGCGCTTAGCCGTTGGGCTCATCAGAAGAGAAAACGATGACGTTTTTTTTTTTATAGGGCCTTTGAGATCCGTGTACTTAGATTTAGGTACACGTTAAAGAACCCCGGCAGGTAGTCGAAACTCCGGGAGCCCTCCACTCTCAATATGATAGTTCTGAAACATCTAGCGCTGACATTTATTGTCAATTATTATCTTAATCAATTGTGGCAGCTGCACGCAGCTAGTTCCTGCAACGGCACCTGTTTATCCTTACCTCAGTGCGATCGGTGAGAACTGCAAACGGGCGCTGGCTCCGAGACGGCGGTCCAGCGACGTTTATGGCGAGGAGAGGGAATCGAGTTATCACATGAACGCCTCCGTGTTTACTGCGTCACGATAAACAGCCATGCCTTATCGGCAAAAGAATGCGGCCACCGACAAGTGCATGGCGACGCTATCAGTACCGTGGAAACGTTCTCGTGAGAAACATTAAAACAATGCATGAATAAATTACTTCGGAACATACATAGCCCATTTTGCGATAATATAGGCTCATTATTGGACTAAGACAGTATTGTTTTATTTCTGAATTTCGCCCGAGACCTCTAACACTGCTTAGCCGGCGATATCATAGAGCGCGAACTACTTTCTTTTTTTCATATTTTGGTTGCCTTGATTCAGTGAGCGTTCCAGATAGTTGCCATCTCATGTCAAACGCTCTTCCATACAGTCAATTTTGACAGAAAAAAATGATGCGTGCCCTGGCAGATGAGGCGATATCACGGCGAACTCGCATGTTAACTTGAAGGCTGAGCGTCTTCTATTTTTTTTTTCATTTTCCGGCTAATCAAACATAATATCGTAGCAACATCGAGTGGCGTTTTTTGATTTGGCAGGTGAATTATCCACTAAGAAAAGCTTATTTTTACGGGTACTTTCAATGAATCTGTAGATAAAAATTGGCAGATACCACGTGCGGTGGGAATCGATGATATGCGAAGCATGAATGAGAAATGTTGCTATGTCACTTTACCATCAGCACAAACTTACGAGTTGGAGGTAAATGATGCCATACATGACTTCCGTGTCATGATTATCATGTTTGTATGTGTCGTTTACCTTCGTCATTTATCCACGTCACGTGATACCAAATTTAGTATATGTGGAGCTAGCGAAACCACCGCGAGCACGCTATGAGCGTGGTATGTTGTCATGTTCTTACATGACACGCGTGTCTGGATTATCATGTTTGCACCAGTCATATATTTCGTCATCCATTCACGTCACGTAACACCAAATTTGGTATATGTGGAGCTAGCAAAACGGCCGCAAGTACATCATGAAGGGCCCAATATACTCCAATGTAGAGTTGACGCGCGCGCACGCTGGCTACAGCGACGCTACGTTAGCAAAACGCGAGCACTCTATAGTCTGACGCCAGGGGCGACCAGAGTCCATCGGCGCGGCCCAACGGCAACCAGCGCGAAATGCGACATGCTGCATTTCGCACCGATGCCATGGAGTAACATAACTCTATGCCGATGCGCTACCCAGACAACACTGCGTCTCCTTCTTTTTGTGACGGAGGGACGCCGGACGCACTGAAACGCGCATGCGTCAAAGCAACGCCCCGCGGCGCGCGCCTTCGAGTAAACAGCAAGACCGGCACCTCGCGTGGCAACGCCGGCGTGACGCGACGAAATGAACGCCGGCGAGCAGGCGCACCTCGTCAAGTGGGAATGTATTGGCGCCTTGACCGTGGCATGTAGTCATGTTCTCACATGACACGCATCTCATGATTATCATGTTTGCACCAGTCACATACCTTCGTCATCCATTGCCGTCACGTAATACCGAGTTTGGTATATGTCAGGCTAGCAAAACGGCCGCCAGCGCATCATGAGTGTGGCATGTAATCATGTTGTTACATGACACGCATGTCATGATTTTTATGTTTACACCAGTCACGTACCTTCGTCAACCATTCACGTACCGTAATACCAAATTTGGTATATGTGACGCTTGCGAAACGGCCGCCAGCGCATAATGAGCGTGGCATGTAATCATCTTGTGACATGACACGCATGCCATGATGTTCATGTTATGGTCTGTCGCTAGTGTTCGCCATGCAATCATGCCATACCATACCAGTTTTGCAACATGCCATGCGAACGAAACCACCGCAAGAGCTGCAGAACCATGAAATGTAAATCATGATATTCATGACATAAATGCCATGATTTTCATGTTATGACTTGTCAAATATGTTCATACAGTCATGTTATGTCATACAAAGTTTGGTATCGATACCGCTATTGAAACGGCCAGGAGAGATAAAAGTCGTAGCCGGCTAGATAGATTAGATAGATAGATAGATAGATAGATAGATAGATAGATAGATACATACGCCCAAAGTTGCCGAAGTTTGCTAAGAAATGCTTCGCATTCAAGAAATCGTCAAAAACGCTAGGAATACAAAGAACAGGGAATAAGTGTCGAGATCGTTGACTCGTTAACACGAAGCACGTGCATTAAAGGACGGTAATGGGCGCGAAAGAAAGACAGGACACTTGAAGCGTGGGCGCGTTGCCAGAGCTGAATCGCGGAAGCCATGACGCTTGTAGGCGTCCACACTCAAACACCTTGTTTCAAAAGGGACGCTCGTCACATCCATCCATTGGTGCCGCGAACGAACAGACGGAGGCAAAGCAGACGACGCGCGTTCTCCGCTTGCCCAACTGCAACACGGCGGGTGATCCGAGGGCACGTTTCCACCACCTAAATTCGAAAAAAAAAAAAAAAAAAGAAACGCGCAAACGTTTTGAACTTTCGCAGGGCGAAAGTTCACAGGGTAAACTACGCCAGCTCCGCGGTTTACAGAGCTTCGATAAAATCCTTGAGAAATCATTCGCACTGTTTTATTGGTGCACCGTCCCCATAAGAAAACGACGCTGGGGCCGCTGGGCGACGCGCGTCCATTTTCAACTTGACTTGTCAATAAACAAAGCGCACTTCGCTGGAGGGCAATGTTTCGTGCACTCTTTCACTGTTCACACACACACGCACACTACAATCCGCACAATGTGAAGAAGAAGAAAAAAAAGGCAATGTATCACACCCAAACAGCGAACAGTCCCTACCAGAGGGCGCTCGCTGCCATACTTTTCCGCAGTGTGTTATTCGTGTTTCCAGTAAGGAGTCATGGCAAGTCATTGTCTTTCACCACTTTGCTACCACTGTCAATCAATGTCACACAGGAGTTAACAGTGATGCGTTTTGATTGTCAGCACAACACGCGAGTCCCAGGTATAGTGGCACTGTTCTATCACACGGTTCATCTTTGGCATGGTGTCTTTTTTTCCCTTGTCGTTGTTCAGGTGTAGTGGCGCGTGTCGTTGGGCATCTTCTCGTTGATGCAGAAGTGCAGACAGAGCATCCAGAGCGAGTAGAAGATGAAGTCCTCGAACTGGTACGTGTCCAGGAAGAGGCTCCGGTAGCCGCAGAAGAACAGGCTGTAGACGCACTCGGTCGCGCTGTCGAACAGGTCCACGAGGCGCGACGACTTCATGTCGTCCGGGTCGTCCTTGTCGGACGACGAGTCGCACGACATCTCGCAGCACGACATCACCACATCCTCCTCCTCTTCCGCACACTCGGTCGCAGCCTGCGCGACAACAAAAGAACAATCGAAGTTGTAATTGTAGCGGTAATCAATCGTTATCGATGGTCTACTACCTTGTATGGTTCGTTATAGACGATTGTCTTCACGTTCTGAACACCTTAGTGGTGAGACAGCACTAATGATTGTGACATATGGTGTTTGGTAACGCAAAGGCCATTTGATGGCCAAAACAGCGCCAAGTCATAAGACAGATGACGTGAACAAGGATTGTGATAAGTGGGTGCATAAGGGCCTTGAGGGTCAGCGCACTATAGGTGCGTAGAATACGTAAGTAATGATAATAATGAGGGTGACGCTAAGGACGAGCCTTTCAGCCCGAGTAAGAACTGTAGTTTGCAGCGAACCGTTCGAAGCTATTAGTATGATGCGAGTTTTTTAAACGCGATCTGCCGTTTTAAACGAAAATGTGTTTTTCAGTTTCCATTTTTTATTATCTTTAAACTGAAGCCAGATCGGCCTCCAGCGTATTTTGGAAATATATGAGCGCGAAATTCCTTCCGCCATGTAGACATACTGAGGAAATTGTGCGGACGCCCTTGCACATAGGTGCACGGTTCGGTTGTAAGGCCGTCGTGGTGTGATACAACCGAGCCCAAGGATCCGCCGCCCCTGGCTACAGTGACCTTCGTGGCGCTCCAGTTTCGAGCTGGCACAACTGGGCACGCAACGGGTCGCCGCGTCGGCTGCACACAGCGATCCCACGCGGATTTCCTGCTTTCGCGCTCTGTTGTACATATATACACAATGTGTCCGTATAAATTCCGTTACATATACCGTGTGCCGCGCTGTGGAAGGTAGGTGAACTTCTTGCAGCAGATGCGTTTGCACAAAGTGACGCTGCCACCTGTAATGTGATTTTTTTTTTTTCGCTTTTAGGCTGAGTAATAAATAAAGATGTCTTGTGCCTTAAACAAAACAAAAAATAGCGGCGGCCGCTTCACGGGAATCGAAGAAGCAGCGAATATGATGGCGTCAGGCTAACGCAATTCAATGTTTTGCAATTATGAGGCACGTCTTTTATCGCTGCTCTTTATGAGTAGCGTAGCCAGGGGGTGGCACACCGGGCTATGCCACTACGAAGGTCGTTCGTGTGTCTTGTGTCACACTGCGCGTCACTGCAGCGCTGTCACCCTAGACACGTGCACACAATGACAACGCAGCCTGGGGGCGGCCCTTCTATAGCTGCCTGGTGACGGCTGCGCTTCTCGCATTGTTCTACTTCTCGTAGCCTCCTGGCTGACTCATTCGTGAAGAGATGTTTAGCGCGGCGGCGGAAAAGAAAAAAATGGGTGACAGGGCTTGTAATTTGCGGGTGTGTAACACTTGCCCCGGCTATCCTTTGTGTCCATGCAAAAAAAAAAAAAGGTGAAGCAACAAAATGGCGACAACACAGGCCGCATGTCACCGCGTAGTATGCAGAAAGTAGTAGAACCATCATTTGCGATATAGTTGGTCATGATTCGCGCTTCCAAGACAAACTATTCAAGGTACACTGAACTTATCGGTCGTGTGCTCTTTGCCCTTGTTTACTTGATGCCAAAAAGTCTTTTTAAAGAAATCATTTCGCTCGTTCGTATGACGGCGTCTGATCGCAATGTACACCGACTTACATAATTAAACCGGCTTACTTAAATGAGCGCACCGGCGTTTTTTTTTCCACATTTGCACAATTTTCAGTTTTAAGTGCCACCGGCGATGAACCTAATGTTGTTTTATAACCATCTCTTAATAAACGTGCATTGATTGTGTGTGCATCTATGTTAATAAATGCGCGATATATAGCTTACATATTTTTTTAATCCACAGCGACGTACTCGGTCATTGTAGGTCGATAATGTTTCAGTGCATGGCAGAGCGAGAATTTGTTTTACTGCTCAAAATATACGGACTCAGGGGCACAGCAGGAAGTTTATTTTTTTCAGGTCGGTGAAGGGGGAGTTTTTAATATTTATCACCCAGAAGCTGCTGTGATGACATTGGTTCGAGTTCAAACCGCCTATAGAACTGTAATGACGACGTTTTGACAGCGTCCACGCTATAGCGCTCGGGGAAGACCACCAAGACGGGCAATATTAAATATAGACACGCGAGATGCTTTCACGTCGCAGCAGCTGCTTCCACGCTGCTTTTCCTCGCCTCGCGGTGGAAAATTCATCCCCGCGACCGGCATTTTTCGACATCCGTGTTCGGCGACAGTCACCGCGACAGCCGTCACGTTCATCAAGCATTCGGCAGGCGCGCTGATTTCGCCGACGTTCGGGCGGTTGAGCAATCTCTCTGCTGGCGGCAGGAACGGGGCAAGTTCCCCTTAAATACGAGAAAGTTTCGCGCACCTAAACGTTTTGAGCAAGTCCAAACACGACTGCCAGCTTTCAAAGCGCTCACTTGAATCCTTCAGCGCGCTGTACACTCTGACACCCAGAAAAAAAAAAAAGCAAAAAGCAGCACAAGCGAACAGGGACAGCCCGCTACTTGCTAAGCACTTCACTAAAGCTATAGGGATCCGTGATCAAAAGGTCTCACAGACGTTTGGGAATTTCCAGAAAATTTCACTATATCGGCACACTTCAACGAACGAGACGTAGCAACAGGAATGCGAACGCGAAAAAAAGCACTCAAAACAAACAAAAACGCACGGAATGCGCAGTAATGGTACTGCACCGTGTTGTAACTGAGTTAAAAAAATATTGTGAGCGGCACCGAACCGAGGAAAGGAATTATTCGCAATGCCATGCGTGTGGGAGCTGATTATTGCGCAAAATATTTGTCGCGCAAAATGTGTGCGCGAAGCGAAGGTCATCATTCTAGCTCTTATCGTAACTGCTTAACGTCCTTGAAGTACATTACTCAAAGTCAAAAGCAACAGGAAAAAGCGAAAACGCCACCTAAATAACAAACATCAAAATATCTTTAAATTCCGTCCTTTCTTAAATAGCCCTGAATTATATAGCCAACAAGGTCGAGGAGACGCATCAGACCTTTCGTAAAACTTTTTGGGCCAGTTGGTGCATGTTATAAGAAAAGTAGACGACGCCAACCATCGAAGAAGATCAGGCGAAAGGAAAGCGCGTCAACGCGCGACGAACTTTACTTCTGCAAAACCACCGCAATATATCCCCCATGCTACACATGCGCAATAACCTTACGCACAATTTTAGCGCAAGAGAACTTTTTTTTGTTCCGTTTGCAAAATCGCTACGCAATATTCTCGCAAAAACCCGGCGCAATCAAAATACATATTATAGAAACAAACCCGGCGTTTAGCACAAATACCGCAGATATTTCTTAAGCAGCATTGCGATTGTGGCCCAATAATAAACGAGCAACTGCGACACGAATTCCTCAGAAAGCGTGATTGCACGACGGCAAACGTCAACGATAGAACAAAAATACAGGCAGGAGTTCACGAGAATGCTTCAGCATAAAACGACATGATTATCAAGGACGCCGTAGCGAAGGGCTTTAGGGTGTTTTGACCATTCGAGGTTCTTTACCGCGCAACTAAACCCTAGAACACAGGCTCTGAGCGTTTCGCCTCCAACGAAATGTGGTCGCTGCGGCAGGGATTCGATCCCGCGACCTTCAGGCCAGCAGCCGATCACCGTAATCACTAGACCACCATGGCGCTGCTACAAAGGCCACTGACGCAATATTAAACTACAGCAAACGCGCAAGTTCTATCGCCTAGTTCGTTGACATTTCGTAGCGCTTCCCAAAGTCTTCGCAATAATTTAAACTTTAAATCACAATAATCAATCACAAATCACAATAATTTACACTTTGTTCACTGCTCGGAAAGGACTATCAGTTCCCTTTATGATTCTCACTGGGTGGTGATGTCACGCAACGCGATTTTGCGGCTGACGAATATTTCTCACTCGTTTCGTTAGCACGGCAGCTTGCGAGAGTGTCGCGCGCCGGCGCGGATGCTGCTGCCCCGCGCAGTCGACGCCACCGATGAGTCATCGCTTGCAGCGGAGGCAAGGCAAAGCCGGTCTGGCCGCACCTCTCCGCTGCGTCAGCTGTCGCCTCTCCCTAAAGATTCGTGTACGAGGGGCTTTCACAGGACCACTCAGGCATTCTGAGTGACAGTTCCTCAGTTCGACACCAGTATGGCCGTGTCTCTGAGTGTCCCAGCTCTTAATTTCACCGTTTTAATAGCGTACGAAGGAAACGCAAGCCGCTCTAACACATGCGACCGGCGGAATGTTCACATGAAATTACATACTTGTCGAGCTGCACTAGATAGCATTAGGGTGGCCAGAAATATCCTTTCGGAGTTGTTATACGCCGCTAGTAAAAAAAGCAGAAACCCTTCACCCAGAAAAAAAAAAACCTCAGTCATTTTTCTACTTAAATGAAGACCTCGGGTCCGGTAAATGTAATACCAATAAACTTATTCATTCATATGGAAAAGAGTAGTAGAGGGTAGTATTAAGAGTTCAGAAAATTTCCGGTTTGGGGGGGGGGGGGGGTGTTGTCATTTTGAAACAGCCGCCCCCACCTACGTCCTGGCTATACGTCTGTGGTCGGTAGCTGCAGCTGACTTTTGCGCCTCACTGAGTCAACATTCCAGTACAGAACAGGCTGTCGACTTTAATGCAAGATAGACTGTCACTCTGTTTACACCAGGAGGTAGAAAAAAATCACTGAACTACCGTGGATGCACTAGTGGCCGTTAATGAACTATCTCTCAGGCTGCACCTGTGTCACGGTGTCGTGGTTACGAGGTACATCGTACGCGCTGCATACAGGCTGCAATGCAGTTTCTCTCTACAGATGGTGTTCTTTTTTTTCTTTCTTTTATGCATTGCAAGAGCAGTGGCCGCGTAAAACAACAACGGCGCGTGTTCCTAGAGGTAACACGAGATCATAGTCACTGTCGCTCGGCACTTCTGAGCGGGTCAACAGGCGGTGCGACAGTTTGCTTCAAACAAAAAGAAAAAATGAAAACGTTCATTGCTGCACAGAAATATTGTAGCGGTGACACAAAATAAATCGAAGAATCGCAAGGGGAAAGTTCATTGGTAAATAGCCCTCGTCGAGCAACGTTAGAGTGCCAAACTCTCGCGATTTAACATTTTTTTCCGGGTTGTTCACGTTTTGCTAGAGTATATGTTCATGGTAACGTAAGCAAATACGTGCCAGATACCAAGGCGTTTCTCATTTTCTTTCATTATTTCTTGCTTGCCTTTTCTCGTTCGGTTTTGATAGTATCAGTTGTGTATGCTCGATCGTTTGATATAAAGTCAACTTTCTTCTCAGTCTATCAATAAACAGAAGAAATGGTGGAGTGTTATCTAATGTTGGAGATAGTTATAGCGCGAGAACAGAATGACGACAAAGAGACAAGAAGGACACGAGCGCTCATTTTTTTTTTTTCCTTCTTGTCTCTTGGTCGTCATTCTGTTCTCGCGCTATAACTATCGTCATCTTATACCAACTAGCCCAAGCTGCCACACTTCTAATGTTAACATTCCAAACTTTCGCGCTCGTGATGGTGGGCCTGAATTCAATGAGTTGAATGTTAGGCTAATTGGTGTTTGGACATTAATGTGACTCGTAAGTACAGAAACGAAAGGAGCACAACCGAAAGAAATAGACGAGCCTGTGTTAGTCTATTCCTTTCTGTCGTGCTACTTGCAATCACATCAATGTACGAATAAGTTATTTGTTTAAGGTGTGAAAGCAGCTTGAAGCGGAATTTAATGCGGCGTGCGTGCCCACTCTAACTGCGTATGTGCGACAGCTGGCCCAAGCACTGCCAGAACGCGCTAGGGAGTTCTGGCTTGTGTAAGTGGCTAGGTAAGACGCCGTGGCCTCTCCCCCTTACACTCTCTCACCAATCGTGTGATGGCGTCGGTGTACGAGATTCTGCAGACGCGCGATGAGCCCACGCGTCGTATGGTAAGCTAAACGTGCTGACACGCGCTAACGCGTTCGAGACAGCGTAGGTGGCTAAAGAGCTGTGGTGTGCACTCCCCTTGCTCGGTCGCATCGCCTCGTGGCTCCGTTTAGCGGAAGACGGTGTAATTCCTTTTTTTTATTTCTCAGCGGACGTAAAATCTGAAACACGGTCGTTGAAGTGAGCAAGTTACTGCACGATCGTATACTTGACGTTTCGAAAATTTTGCTCGAAGAAGGTAAGAGAGGGAGAGATGAGAGTACGCGACGCGACTTGCTGTCCGCAGTGATCGCCTTGCGACAACCGTACAGAGTGCCATTGTTCGCGCGCCTCTTTAGGACAAAGGCCACCCACAATTGCCCTCTTTCATTGCGAGCTTTAGTGGCGCGACCCCTCGTGCCACCACGTCCACTCCGGAAAATAAAATAAAATGAAAGAAAAAGGCCCGACAATTTCCCGGCGTCATCACTATTTTTGTTAATTCCACTGCGCTCGCTGAGCAGCTTTCGGATCATTTCACCCCGTTTCGTTTTTAAGGAACATTAAAGTGGAACAATGAATCAGCTTGGATTTGATAAACTGCACTCTCAGAGCACTAATTTTATCAATTTCACCATCATATGTTTATAATCAGAGTAGGAAATGAATGCGAAGGTTACATTTTTAAATTTCGCGCCGAATTATTCGCTCGTTGTGGGACGGATTGCAAATCGTATTTTGGCGATACAGGGGCTACTGAATTCTCCGAAACTTGTTAGATAGGGCTAATGTTCCTGTCGGAGGACAATGTGCTTTATTTTTACTGGTCAGCAACAACACAACACCTAGTAGAAGCCGGCAAGATTTGTGACGTCAGGGCATTTGGTGCGGGGATTTTAAGGTGGAGTCGCCACCCACTTTTTATTTTCTGTTTTGCTGCGATTTTCTCATTTACTAATTGCTTTCCCCAACCAAGCGCGGTTATTTCGGAATCTAGAAAGGGTATTATAAGTAATATTTTTTTTTCTCTTCAATGCCCCTTCAACCGCCTTTCTTCCATGTACCTCTCTCATCACCACTTGCAGAGGAGTCGACGGCGTTGCCAGCCCGTCGGCATCGGTCGATCTAGGCGCGTTCAGACTCCCTACAAAGAACTCCGAACGGCAAACACGGAGACCGGTTCAACCGTGTCGCAGCGAGAAAAAAAGAAAGGTAGGAATGTCTCGACGACGCCAACACGGGCAACTGTCGAACGTGAAAACAGAAAAAAATATCTCGTCTCGATCGCCTGGCGGTACCATACACTCGAACGTCACAGCATCGCTGCAATCCAGTCAGCTGCTGCGAGCGTTGGCAAAGCAAGCAGCAGCAGACCTGCCATTCCTTTTTATTCTGTTTCTGGAACGCCTCGTCTAACTGATCCGCTACGCAGATGTCGGCCGCTTGTCGGCCTCGCGGAGCGCGCGCGGAGCGAGAGAGCGTCTGCGTTTGCCGGTATGCTGCACGCACGTACTGCGTCGCGATCGACCTTCTCCCGCGGCACGCCGGTGCTTCGGAAGCTACGTTGACACCGTGAGCGCGGCAGATACCATATCCTTGACTTACACTCGCATTTCTTGTAGCCGAAGTAGATCAAGAGTTGCTAAGTACCGGGGGTCTCGCCTTCCCTATCATCCATGGTGTTGTATTGGTGTATATTACAACTCCCGACAACGCATGCGCACTCACCGTGTCATGCTGCTGAGCCTTTTCTTCGCACTCCGGTGCTTCGCATGTACTGCACACGCCTGCTTCGGGTGCCATGGCGCTTCGGCGTTGGGGCGTCTCTGCCCCGAGCGGAGGCGGCGTAGCGAGCGCTACGACGGGAACGAGTCCGCTTCGACGACGGGGCGCCGTGTCTCTCCGAAAGTGTGTGCGCTCGGCACGGACGTCCACAGCGAAGTGGGAAGGCGACTCCTCAAACGCGAGGGCCCAGCCGGCTTTCTCCCTTACGTAACGCGGCCGTGACAGCGGACTGCTGCGTGTCTGACGAGGTACTCAGCCAGGCCAACGTTGGCACAGCGTAGGTGTTCCGTGGCGGTGGGGAGGAAGAGACCACCGACTCGCCGCTGCGTTCTCTCTCGGCCGTTCTCTCTTCCTTCCCTACTTGTTTCATTTGTTTATGTTCTGCGTTTCCTCCTTGCGGGGCCGGTTTCCTCTCACCCATTTCCTTCAGAGGGCGCGGTTGTATGCTGGTCAGAAGAGAAGCTAGACAAGCGCTGCAGTTGCCACGGTCGCGTTGTGGAGGGTTGACGGCCCGGGGGAGCGGATGATGTATAGCGGTTTTACGGAGCGTGTGTGTTTCCAATTATGCTCGCGGCAGCAGCGGAAGTTTAGCCCACAAGTTGTGGTCAAAGCGGTCAAAGTTCACGGTCACGGTGTGGTTCCCCGTCAGCTGCAACACCGACACAAAACCCCAATGTCGGCTGCGTCGTGTATGAGGTACATAACAATTGTTGGGGTTTTACGTCCCAAAAGCGCTATATGATTATTAGAGCGGCGGATATTTCGACCAGCTGGTGCTTCTTTAACGTGAACCTAAACCTGAGTACACGGGCGTCTAGAATTACACCCCCATACAGAAGCGACCGGAATTCGATACCTTGACCTTGCAATCAGCAGTCCCACCTTGGCGAGTGCGTAGGCGGTATACGAAAACTTACACCCGTGAATGGGGTGTAATGTCGGCGCACGTCACCGACATCCATGAGAGTAGCGTATCATTTCGAGTTCGCTGCCGTTAGCGAATTTCGTCGGTCCTGCTTGCAGTGATCTTTAGGCCTCAATGTGGCGCATTTCCTGGGCACATTCAAAGTGCGAAGTGAAAAGGCATTCCGTGTTAGCAAATTTCTCATTCAACCTTTTAAAACTGGCATTGACATAGTCCGCTGACGTTTTCGAGGTGCAGTCTACATGTAAATACATCTCACGTAAGGGTAGATGTTACCACTCGTCATTATGGGCTCTGCGAAAGTTGGCGTTTGGTGCTCGGAAGTGTAACACACACACAGTCGCGAACGACTGGACTTCTCGCCGATGCGCCCCTTTGTCAAGGGGAGGGGCCTTTGTATTGGGAAGACTTCCGGCAACTAGCTATACTCGTCAACGGCGCCAGCGTGTCTTCCCTGTACCTGAACCGAAAGGGGGCACGCTGTTGTTCGGGAAAATGTCCGTAGGGGGGGGGGGGGAGGGGCGTACGCCCAGAAGAGATTTTGACTGTTTCGGCAGTTGACGTTGCATTAGCGAAGAAGGTTGCCATCGGTGCCGCGAGCCTGGCGTAGGCAGCGAGTACGGCTGCAGGAGCGGGCACTTTCGTCGTATACTAAGCTGGCGAGACCATCAGCGGCACCCCGTCAACTCCCACTAACCGCCTGGACTGGTCCGACCAGCTTGACAGCTCCTTATGGAACTTTTTATTGTGATTTCTTTTAACCGTTATTTTATTATTCCCAGATATTTAGTTTCGTGCGCTGCGTCGCATGTTGAAACTAAAAGCGCGAGCATGATCTTTTGTAACTATTTGTATCTCCTTTAGTTCAATCATGTTCAGTTACGGTATTGACATTACGCGATGTGTCTACTTGCACCTGTTGTAGTGTTCAGAGCATACATTGTTTCGCAAGTGTTCTTTTCATCGCGCGTATTTGCGTTTTTCCTCTTAATTTATTTTTGATAACTCCTACCTTTGCACTCATGTTAATTAAATGCTTGTTTGTGTTTAATCAAATGTCCATGTCTATTCTATGAGTGCGTCCGTCAGGCCCAAACATCACCACACATGCAACCCTGCACGGGTCAACCGGCCTGCAATTAAGTTTGAAATGTACCACTTGCAGGCCTTTCAGACGTCGCAGGCCGAAGCGTAAAGTAGAAGCCTGCGAACCGGCTCACGCCGCTGTTACATCGATGGGGCCTCAGAAAAAATGTGTTGCACAGGCTGAAACCTCTCGAGTGCTGCTTCTTGGATTCTTGACAACTTTTTGCTCTGTCATGTTAGAGTACGTCTTACTCTAAATTGCCGAACGTTAGTTGTAAATACAGAAATGAGCGAAGAATTGCATAGAATATCCAGCTTCGGACCTTTTAGAGAAGTCACCTCATCCATGCTGGCGCATATTGCTGCTCTCCAACAGTCCAGCTCGTGACACCCCGAATTGTTCACCTTATTAGATGCGAAGCGTCTCATGGCCGAGCTTAATCCGGTATGCGGTGTGACCACGATATGAGAGTAGCGGTACAGTGCCATCTAGAATATCCTCACACAACGGCAGTTTGTATATTTGTATGAGACCGCGCCATCTGTTATACTGTTCGGGTGATATTGCCGGTTACGCCTGACGCGGGACAAGGTTAGACCAAGAGGAGCTTCGCTGCTAAAATCACACCATCTTCCGCTAAAGGGAACCATGTGTAGATGCGAAGAAGTGGGCGCTAACGCTTATACATTGGCGGTGGCGTTGACGCTGGCGCTCACCGTGGCGTTTCACAGGAGAGAATTCTGGGAAGGCGCAAAGCACGCAGAGATGGAGTGTTTCCTTCTGGAACATACCAATCGCTGCTAATGCCTAATGGGCACTCAGAGACAGAAGACTCCGATTGGACACAGAGACAGTTCGCTTTTAGTTAACGCACACGCTACGAATTTTTGTTGCTCAACAACGCACAAGAGAAATCTCCCACTGGCGATACCTTGGGGATATGGCGTACGTTACTTGAATAAACTAAGTTTGAAAGGTCCGCCTCAGAGGCGGGCCAAATGCCGGGTGGTGGTCGTGAGAACTAGTGGTGGGTGACGGTCGCGAGAACTAGTGGCGCTGCAGTCCGATTTTGCTCCCGGGCTGCGCGTGTTGGGATCGGCGGCGACGATGGCAAGCGGTTACTACGAATAATGCGCTGTATTCACACGTCACTTCTGGGATTGTTCTTGGAACTTGTACGAAAACGCATTTCTTCTGCGGAGTTCGACACTGATGTGAGTGCACGACGATATCAGCGCTGGAGAACGGTCGTCGAGCAGGCGCGTGAGGTTAGGCTTGGGCGTCATGGGATAGCCCGCTGAAGGTAGCTCTTTGGAGGGCGTGATTTGGAACGTGAAATCATCTTTCAGACGCTTAAACTTATCTTTCAGGAGAACTTAGTGGCTTGCGTTCATACCATTGGGTAGACTACGTTGAACATTTCATTAAAATGAAAGCCTTAGAGGCCTCATCATACTAAAAAAAAGGACACTTGGTAAATTCCAAAGTGTGTTCGGCGAAAGCCTGTGGCCATTGGGCTGACTGTTGTTGGGTATCGGGTGCTTCAGCGCGTGGCTGCATGTGCGCATAGCTGATAGACAAAGCGGACAAGGTACTGTACTGTACATAACATTTATGCTGTATATAACATTTATGTACAGCATAAACAGAGGCGTTACATAGGCCGACAGCTTATGGGACTCACACCAAGGTGCCACGATTACCCGGAATTTCTTCAGTCGCTCTCTCGTCTCCGCGCAGCTTGGTTCTTTTATAGCCCCTGGAGATCGCTTGCATCTGCCAGTAGTTCGAACCCTCCAATCAGTAACCACCGTTGGTCGCTGGCTGGAATTGAACCCGTGGATGAGGGGGCTTGCGACCCGTTGCGTGAGGGTTTGCCGTTGGTTACACGTCAGGCGCACCGCAAGAGTTGCCAAAGACTGCATGAGACTGTCACCTTGATTGACGGCCGTTGCGTCAGAAAGCTCAATGGAATGGACGCTGGTTGCAATAAATAGCCACTAAACAGATTGAGAAAGTAATCACGGAGGATAATAAGACAGTGTGGACATACACGAATCTAATTAGACTCTTTGAGCTAGAGCTTGCTAAGACGCGTAACAAGTCACCCCGGAAAAGAAGACACAAACCCAAAAGTTGGTGGGATGAGGAAGTTAAGAGAGCCATAGCAAAACGTCAGGAAGCCTCTAAGGAACACAGACATGCTAAGCAGCGGGGTGAACCGACAGATGATGTTGAAAGAAAATGGGAAACCTTTCTAAGCTGTAGAAGGGCTGCATCCCTTCTGATCAATGAAAAGATTAGAAGAAAGGGAGCTCAGTGGCTGGCAGAAGTACATAAAGAAGACAGAAAGGCAGCTGCGAAATTTTGGAACCATCTAAACTCCCTAAGAAATGAGACGAGCCTAGAGCAGAGTTTTATAACTACAGCCCAAGGTGCCAGGCTAGAAGGGGACGAAGCTATTGAATATATAAGAACAAGGGTGACAGAAAAAATTCAACAAAGAAGTACTTTATGCACCACAATAGACAAGGACGAATCAAGTGATGCAATGGCTCCATTTTCACAACGAGAGTGGGAAAGGGCTGAGAAAAGGGTTCCTAGTAGTACATCAACAGGCCCAGATGGCATTCCAATTAGGCTGATAAAGACATTAGGTCCGAAGTCTAAGCAGGCTTTGGGAGAGGCAGTGAGCAAAATAATAATCGATGGTGAAGTTCCCGATGGATGGAAACTTAGCAGGATGAGCATGATCTATAAAGGAAAGGGGGACAAAGCCGACATAAACAACTACCGTCCTATAACAGTGACATCAGTGGTCTACAGGCTGGCGATGCAGATAATAAAGGAAAGACTGCAGGCATGGATAGAAGATGAGGGGGTTCTGGGGGAACTGCAGAATGGGTTTCGGAAATACAGGAGGTTGGAAGACAATCTGTTCTCACTGACGCAGGGCATCAAACTAGCAGAAAAGGAACACAGGCTCCTGTGGCTAGCATTCTTGGATATCAAGGGAGCGTACGATAGCGTGGTTCAAGAGGAATTGTGGAGAATACTGGACACACTAGGCGTGAAACATGTAGTCACTAATCTTTTAAAGGGTATCTATAAAGGTAACAAGGTAGTTATAAAGTGGGAAAAACAGGTATCCAAGCCTGCAGAGGTAGAACGGGGGCTTAGGCAGGGGTGCCCCCTGTCACCCTTATTATTCATGATGTACCTACAAGGATTAGAGGCAAAATTAGAAGGAAGTGGGCTGGGCTTCAGCCTCTCTTTTGTCAAAC